TTGTCGGAACGCCGTTGCAACACGTGTGCTAATAATCGATTCTGCTGCCGCCATGACGTTATTATCAGCCATGATTAACATACATGAGGTCCGTTTTGACGTCAAAAAGACTTGTTCATCACAAGTTTTTTTTTTTTATTGCGACTTCAAGGTCCGAAATAATTAGCGAATATTTTTTGAAAATAAAATGTCATCTCGTGCGTAAATTCCAAAGTGCTAAAATCATTTAATTAATAATATCTTATTTAAGTTAAGAAATCAGACGACTAAATTAATAGAATATTTTATAAATAATTTTTAAAAAGTGATCACTGTTATAAATAAAGAGATGATCTGTTTAATAAATTACAGCTTACTAACATGACTGTAATTTTTATTTCGATATTCTTGTGTACTTTTTAATATCTGAAAAGAATCGTCTATAACTTGTTCATTGATTTTTATTCAATCCTTCCTTCCGTTCACTATATTAACTTTACGTGCCACGTGCTGAGCACGTGCGAAGGGTGCCGGGAGCGGATATGAAATCAATTCTATATTATTCGTCACACTCGAGATATGAATAAGTGCTCGTATCTCGCAAAAACGACTTACAATAAGAAAATGATTGATAAACTGTCGAAACATGAAGCATTGTTAAGACTGCTCTTTAAAATGTGTCACTGTAATGATCGCTAGTCATGTAAGCATAACAATCGCAGATCTAACTGAATAATTGCTAGCAGATTAAAAAATATTTATTCAATTATAAGGCAAGATCGATGAATCATCTTATATTTCTAGCATAAGTTTGAATAATAAATGGTTTTCTCCCCTACTCTATTAAAAAATATAAAATATGTAATATATAGCATGCACTGAGAAGAAAATTGTTTATTTGTCTAAATTAATTTATTATTAATTATTATTAATTAAAGTTCATCTTTATTTCTTTCGATGAAGAATGTATTTAAGTCAAACATATTATATTTGACTTAAATATATGAATAATAAACAATTAATTTAATCAAATAAACAATTTTTTTCTCAGTATGTATAAAGAGAGAAAAACAAGAATGTTGTAAATAAAGCTATTTATTAATATTCTCAGCTAAAACTAAATAATCTTTAGAATTAGATTAAAAAATTTTCATATTAAATATTAGATATCTTAGTTTACAATTATAATAATCCGCAATTAATCCTTTGGGTTTTTTCAAAGCCGTATTCTCTAAAGTTTTATAGTTTTATATTTTTAAATACAAATCTCTTATTTAACATTCATATGTTGATATATTTTTATCTTTCGGATTTGTGAATTATAGCAGGAGATACAGATCATCAAAATGTTATGGCATCGTGAAAATGATAGTGAAATGGCTCGCTTACTACTCAACTTTCGACTAATTCGTTATTAAATTCTGCGATTTTAATCTCGACAAATGACGTAATGGGCATTATACGTGTAGAAAGTGCATTTGAACGTGCAAGCACTACGTAGCAACGGAACATTAGGCAAAATTTCCGATTACGACATGCTAACTGTTTCGATGTAACTTTGCATGTCTGCATGATGTTTCAGATAATCACGTACGATTTAGATATACGATTTAGATTCGAATACGAATATATACAGATATTATTAAATATCTAAAAACTTGACATTTTCTAACGAGAAGTATTTCAATAAATATGAATAAGTAAGCTTAATAGTTCTTTTAATAATACATGAATGATTAAAATAAAATTTAATTCTTAAATTTCAATTGTTTTAAATATTATCAAACCAATAATACAATAGAAATTTGCATCTAGTTTGTTTAATTTTTACATTTTTTTGTTATTCATTTGACATGTTAAAAAAATGTCAAATAAATAACAAAAAATATGAAAATCAAGACAGAGTATCGTTGTGCTATTCTCAAGTATCACAAGCTATTTTCGGAAATTGTATTCCACTTTCACTGAACGCCCGGCTTTCGTGGTTACATCTACATCATGACGTGTTTCAGACACTTAAGGCCTGGTAACATCACGCTAATTAGGTCCCACGAGATCGCACGGGGACGAAGAGATCCGAGATTGAAGTAGCAGAGCAAGCGAACGAAACAGGAAACGAGTTACGAGATGCGTTATATCTTACAGATCAGATTCTATCAAAGTACCACCACTCGTTAACGACATGTACAATTGGCTGATACGAAGGAGAATATTGAGAAAGAAAATAGAATAGGAAGAGAAAAGCGTTTAAAAGATTTAGAAGCAAAAGAGAGAAAGAAAAAAAGAAAGCAGGATACTTTGTAAAAGTCATGATAGCAAGAAGAGATGTAGCAGCAAAAGGAAAAGAAAAACCAAAATGATGACGGAGTGAACAAGACAGAAAAGGAGAGATTGCTTGAGTCGCAGGAAGGATGAGGTAAAGGCGAGAAAAGTTCGAAACAAGCGAGTAATTATTCAGTGCGAACGACGTTTAACTATCCGCTTCGACCGCGAAATAAGCGAAGTGGTCAAGAATAGGTAGATGGAGAATGTAAAGGAAAAACGAGCAGACAAAGGGCGAAGAAAAGGGGCGAACACAAGGCACAGTAAGTAAGAGCAGAAGGAGGAGCAGAAAAAAGGTCGTATAAGATATAATTTAGTCAGTGGCTTGCTGAAATTAGTATCTCAAAGTGGAAACGTGTCCTCGCGCGCGCGTCCAAAATACTTGTTTCGATAATCCAACGCGGGAGAACGAATTTTATGAGCATCTTCGCAAAATTAACTTCTTCAGATTCTGTGAATATTGTAATATACATTAAATTTGAAGATTATCCATTGAAATTATTTGAACTATCGACATTATCTGAAAATATATGTAACAAATGTACATAATAAATGTTGAAAAATAAAATCGAAATTTAAAAAAATGATTACGATATAAAGTAAATTAATTAATGAAAACTTTTTTGTATTATATATAGTATTGCTTTCTGATCGTTTTTTAAAATTTTGTTTTACAAAAAAGTCTATATATCTTAATTGATTTAAAAAATTAGTTCAATCCGCAATGTCAGTATAGGATTTCGATAGGTTAACACAACCAAAAATTGGCTGTAAACCAATTAAAAATATTATGCCATATTACTATCTAATTTGCTGCCAATCCTTTTTTTCAGTGCATGAATTACTTATTAAAGCGTTCTTGAATTCAACATTAAAAAAATTTTTTTTTAAACATGATTCTATTAAAATCAAATTTAAAAGGGTTAAGAAAGTTCACTTTTTCCAATTTTCATCGGTCGACGATAGATTACGGTCGACGGATAGCACGAATGAAGAGATTTCTCCCACCTCGTTATTGAGTGAGAGCAACGTTTTGAATATCCAAGCGTAGTTGACTTTTTGCTCCTTAACTCTTTGTAATTATTATCCATGTACCCGATAATTATGCGTAATCGAGGCCTCAGTGAAATACCGCGGTACGCTTCATTGCCTGAGAAATTCACGGACAGTAAAGTAATAACAATAAAGTCGAAGCGAAAGCAAAGAGTCTTGATTTTTTATGTTCGAACTTGGAATTGTAATTCCAAGTTCTCTTGTTTCATTGCTAAAATTATATACTTTGTGAGTGTCTGAACTTGAGATATCAATCACATTCATAGTAGACACAATAAAGTTAAAGTTACTAACTTTTATTTAAATTTAATTGACGTTCTTCGTAATTACTTGGTATTAAATAATGTACTGCGATAGTGAATTGAATCTAGCAATAAACGTAACATTGTCATATTATATTAACAACAAATGAATATTAGAACTTTTTTAGATCAAAAGTTAGTTTAAAAATAGCAATCTCTGCAATCTCAATTTAAAAAATTAATGTCCTAGAACAAGGAAGATAAAAATAATTATTTCCCAACCGGGAAATAATTATTATTATGCTCCTAATAATCGGTAAAATAAAGCGTAACAAACGATTATTAAAGATCTAATTCGTTCTTCGAATCCCATTCACTCGTCGATGCGGAACGCACGTGCTACTCGGAAACGAAAACAGAAAATCGGCGATGGAGCAAGATTAATTAATTGCGGTCTCGCTCTGTTACACGATCAAGTCAGTAACGATCGATTTGTCATACCGCTTGACACCAACGAGCTTTATCAAGCTCGTCCGCGATTTCCCTTTCCTCTCTGCGTTTATACGCGTAAAATGATCGATCAATCGCGCTACCGATGGCCGCGATATCATTCCGCGGCGTTGACCGGATCGGACGGTTAATACGCGCATGTACACACATACAGAGACACACGGTACACGATTTAACATCGTGTAGCCAGTGGGATTGTAATCACGCGCCGGAGTTGCGCCGGACTTGTGCCCAGCACGCTCCTCGATCGGCCGAAGCGGGAGAACCAGAAGCGAGGAGAGACAGAGAGAAAAGAAACTACGAGGAAGAGGGGGACGCGGAATCACGATAAGAAGATCCAGCACGAATATGGAAGCTGCGGCTGCGATGGAAGAAGCTACACTTTACAGGTGGGACAAAGATGGCTTCTCTATTTTGCCTGAAGCAAGAAGAAGGAGATGTTGGTCGAGATCTAGTCCTTCCGTATGAGCGCTCGTAGAAATACGCGCCAATAAGCGATAGAGAGAAACAGACAGGACAAAACGGTGGAGAGAACGAGAGAGGAGCGAAAGATAGATGGATAGAAAGAGAAAGACGGAGAACGACGATTACGAGCCGCGCATACCATGGCACAACCACTCGTCGACGATCAGAGGTAGAGAGCATCGACTCCGCGCCACGGCTAGGTGCAACAAGGACGCACGAACGGTGACGATGGCTTGGTGTGGGCGCGTGTCTGGCAGCTGCCGCTTACAGGTGGTGTGCTTGCTTGGGAACCAACCTCTACGGACCGTTCCCACGGAAGGCCTGTCCCCCACTATGCGGTCCCATACTCGTCCCCTCACTCCGTCCACATGGGGGACCCTTGCCTATATAAGTCGAAGCCTCGCCCGATCACGGCTACAATCACGCTCTGTTCGTGTTCACTCAAAGGTCGAGCTGGAGACCAACGTGTTATCCAGATACACGCACGTTTCCTTCCGCCAACCGCAGTGACTCGTAATCGTAGCGACGATTAGAGTTCGACGAACCGGTGTGATAGCACGAGAAGGTCGCGTTCGCGATAAGCCAATATACAGTTATCAAGTGAAGTTTTGATTGTGCCGCAAGAAAAAAAGGATTAATCATGCAGATGCACGAGCAGATTATCATAGCCGATGGGCAGGAACAGCCGATCTCTAGGACATATCAGTATCGAAAGGTAGGTGTCATCTTGACATTTCAATCAAACAATCGCTCTAATCGTCACATGAACTTCAAATTAATTTGTAACTTTGTTTTTCCTTTAACAATAAATTCGAATTGATTTTTGACATTTTTTTTCACATGAAATAAAAGATTCTCAAAAAGTTTTTCTCTAAACGTCGAGTGCGACATTGATCTATAGCGATTCATTCGTTTCGATTCGCAGGTGATGAAACCGATGTTGGAACGCAAACGTCGAGCGCGTATCAATCGCTGCTTGGACGAGTTGAAGGATCTAATGGTGACCGCGCTGGCCGGTGATGGTGAGAACGTAGCGAAGTTGGAGAAGGCAGATATTCTGGAGTTGACGGTGCGTCACTTGCACAAACTTCAGCGTCAACAACGTCTCTCGGCGAATCCGGTGATCGACGCAGACCGCTTCCGTGCCGGCTACACACACTGCGCGAACGAAGTCAGTCGCTGCTTAGCAGCCACTCCTGGCGTTGACGTTGCCCTTGGCACCAAACTGATGACACATCTCGGACATAAACTCAACTCTATGGACAAAACCGGTCCGTTGACCATCCACGTAACCGCGCCACAGTCCTCGCCATCACCCACCAGCGAACTCAGCGCCGATGAGTATCCGATGCCGTTGACGCCAGCGTCCAGCCAACCATCCCCGGTACGAACCGACATCGATACTGTCTCCCAGAGCCACCAGGGTCTCCTGCAGGTAGCTAAGCCGAACGAACCCATCTGGCGGCCCTGGTAAACTTCTGCCTTGACACGGCAAACTCGCCCAAGTTTCCGAGTAAACCGGCGAAAAAAAGATCTCGAATCCGAAGGATTCAACTATCGACGCCGGTGTTGCAATTTCTCTGTGATCTGAACGAAACGGACATCGCAAGGAGGAAAGAACGAAGAGTCTACCCCTACAAAGATCACCTAGATTTAAGGGGAGTTTCACTTGCTCAAAGGCAGTCGGACCGAAGCGGAAGTACCAAGGCGAACGTCATGTCTCCAATGACGTTCTACTACCAGCAACTTCGATAACGTTCCGCAAGAGTCGGACAACACTGGGATCTCGATACGTAGTTTTATTCGCGGCCGCACGCGGCTGAAGCTTTAATTTACTCGACAGTTAGATGTTTTCTATTGTTTATTTCATACTTTTATTGAGGATGTTTTTTTCTTTTTATTTTCTCGCCGTAATGTTATTATACAAGTCTCACTAACGGTTAAGAGCATCAAATGTGAGACGATGACGAATGACCTTACGAGGCGGCGATTACGGTGATTCCGCAAAATGCGCGTCCATTTAGTATCTCCCGTGGCGCAAATATATGTATAAAAATGACCGAGCGGAAGATTTTGTGATAGAGAAACGTGTACCTGTGATATTTACTGTAGTAGGCGTAGAGATGATAGATTTTTAATAAACATGTTTCGTATCAGCAATACATACTCAAGTGATTTTGTGCAACCTACCCAATGATATATGTATAGATTAAGATAAATCTTAAGATCTTTAAATTTTTAGAAATAATGCAGAATTATTTATTCTTTTTTTATGAATAGTGTACCAATTTTCTATTAATATATACACAAAATTATACCGTTAATTTGAAATTTATTACATTGAAATTTATTACATATTATGAAAAGGTATAAAACATTACTTTGCTTATTAAAAATGCGAGAGCGTCATTAAGTTTCAAGATTTCACACTTTGTATTAAAAAAAACATTTTTTATCATTCGTTAGTTGGCTAAATAAATCTTTAGACAAAAAAAATATGTGTACTATATATTTGATTTGAATATGATATTTCAGAAAGAATTAAATTATAAATTAAGAAAATATTAAAAATACTCGATTTAAATATAGATATTTCAAAAAGAATTAAATTACAAATTAAGATTAATCAAATTAATTAAGAATGCACTCACCCTGATACAGCTTCTAAGAATCCCTGCAGTTCATTCCTTCTTTTCTGTGAACCACTTTTACCTGAAAACATATCAAGAATATAAGTGTTATCGCTATAAAAGACAGATTGGAAATTATAGAGTATACCGATTGTCTAATTCACATAATTTGGTGCCAATATTTATACGTCACACAGAAGTCTTGTAATATTTAACTCTTTATCAACAAGCAAAAATGTGATCAAACACAATGTTGACGATTTTTCGAAAAAAGTATCCTGTACAATATATATATTTTTCTCAATGCGATCAAAGCGAAAACGTGCCAAATGCGAAGATGCGACATCGCTCATTTTCTCGATATCACTTGAATTTTTTAATTAATTCGATTGAGTCCACTTTAACACGCCACGTAGCGACACTACGATATAAATAGTTTTCCGGTGCGAAAGGGTTAATCGGATCGAATGTAGTCTATTGTTTCGCAGCACGCTCTACTAAACTGCGTCTCGCGACATTTAAATTTATCATTATCGGCCTTCAAAATTTATACAAGGCAAGTTTATAATATCGTAAAAAATTAAATCTGATCGCAGACATGAAAAATAATCGCGCAACATGTTGCGTTAATTAATTTGCAAATGCTGTCATGTTTTCATAAAAGTAACTAAACAAATATTTAAAATAATTACGTCGAAAGCAATATCAAATATATTGATTACACATAAATTTACGTTAAATTATCTCCATACAAAAACAGTCGAGTAATAAAATATATAATCGTTCATGTAAATTAGTCAAGTAATAAAAAATATAATTTTTAACGATTAGAGGAAGATATCCCGCGCAAATTTCAAAATATTACATAAAATAACTCACGTAAAATATTTCTGTTTACTTCGAGTTACTTAAAAAAAGTTATATCAACATTTTAATTTAAAACACTTAATTCAATGACATTATTAATAAAAAAAAATACAATTTTATTAAAATGAAAGCACGATGTATTTGTTCCATTAACAGTGTTTTTAAATTAATAAAGTTATTAAATTAATAAAATTATTTTCAATTAAAAATAAGACTGTTAATATAACATCATTTTTTTTTTTTAGTATATACAATAAACTTTAATTTAAACGAACTTTTCTCTCACATATAAAACTATCTATTTAAATGTTGGGCCGCAATCGCGATTTGGTCTGAAATTCGATCACGGTATTCAAAACTTCCGTGAAATACGGCGATCAATCCCACTCGTATCAACAAAAGCCTCGAACTTGCGTGATTCGGTCTAATAACGTAACATGCAATTGCACTCTTTCTCAACCAACTCGAGCTTTCAATATGTGTCTGCGAGTTACTGGAGGCCATATACTTTACGAAGGCGCCAAGGTTTTGAGCACTTTATCGATTCCTTTTGACGCGACTCGAGTGCAACCCGACGCGATTCCACCGTCGATATTTTATCGATTTCACTCCATTACCTGGCGCAACGACCTCCGAACGTCCACACGCCATTGCGCGCGCACACCAAAATTCGCGCGCGTATCCCGGAAGCGGGCCGCGCGAAACAAAACAAATCAACCGGATCGAGTGGCGAAGCGGGAATCGTCACGGCGATTCCGAAGCGATCGGGTGAGAACTTATCGCGATAATCCCGCTCGGAATTCAGAAGAATTTCAAAAAACGAGATCGCCTCCCCCGTTGACGATGACGTCACGTCGCTATTACTACCTGGCGAGGTAGTAACCGATATTCCAGTCGCGTCGAGACGAATTATCACCATACGCGATTTAGGTTAGCATTGCCGAGAACGAAATGCACGTCCGACAGAATGCACGGACCGACACTCGATCGCCGCCATTAATTCGCAAATTCGCGCGCGCCGGAACTCGTGCCGAAACGTCTCGCGCGGAATGCATCCCAAGGTCGTTTGGCATCCGTTATCAAGGGAATATGCAGCCAAGATCACGCACTAATCCTGAGGGATTTACGTTACGGCCTTAATATCGGCCTCGATTCACGTGTCGGCGTCACGTAAACAGCTTTGTACCGCGACGCAACTTGCCGGTATGTATGCGTTCAAACGTACCCCAGATGTCCCTCGGGAACACCGTCGGCGTCGATGATACCGCAGCCGCACGGGAAAAACCGGGAAAAACACTCAACCACTACGATATTATACTCACTTTCCCGATAACCGAACCGCCACTCAGCTGTAGCACGTGCTGTCACCACAGGTGCACGATCACGCTTCGCCGTCATCTTGCGGCAAGTTCAAGAACTATTACGCGACGCGATGACGGTAATGTCGGAATTGTAGCGAACGACGATGGAAAAAAACTCTGCTCGGATGATAAATGACTGGAATTCGCGAGATGATTTTTGCCTATTTCTACCGATGTATTGTAGATTATATGATTTAATCTTGGTTCAACTTACTTCTCATCTTTTTTCTAATTCTTAGAACTAAAAAAAGATGAAGAGTAAGTTGAACTGAGATTAAAGTTAATCTATATTGGTAAAAACGAGCCAGTACAGTTTACTTTTAATTTCAGTTCAACTAATTCATCTTTTTCTAATTGTAAAACTAAAAAAAGAAAAAAAAACCGAGATTAAAATTAATCTACACTGATAGAAATGGAAGTCTGAATCCATTAATGCATTAACTTCTCTCGGCTCAGTAATTCAATTTGCTCATTTTCCTAATTCGTAGAATTAGAAATCTTAGAATGAAGATAAAGAGTAAATTGAACCAAGATTAAAGTTAATCTTTACTTGCTGAAATCAAACCTTAGAAAAATCTGAGATCGGTATTGAATGCAATCGCGATTTCAAGGAATCAATAAGGTAAATATACTTTACGTTACGCATCATGGCAACGTTATCTATATCATTATCGCTAATAAATACATACGTATTATTTTCAACATATGAAGATAAATAGAAATAATAATAGTATTATTAATATATATAATAATATATATAATATATATAATAATATTAATAAAAATACAAAGAAATATAAATTACTTTCCATTTTCACGATCAGTAATCAATATTAATCGATTAATGGTCTAAAAGTGAATATATTTTATTGTGAATATTTTATACTCACGATCAGATAATGACGTCATTACTTGTTTATTTTGTTGACGTTATCATATAACAACACAGATTTATAACTTCACTTAAAGCTTGATGTGTTCATGTGCTATTTACAGCGTTCTTATTTTATCCTTGTTTATCAAATGTTAAACAAAGAGAAATGATGCTCATAAATGATGTGAACGCCAAATAGAAACGCATCTTTAATATCAGTTAACAAAACTCACAATTTCGAACTTATAGATAAAAAATTATTATCAGTTGAATCTCACTTGTCAGAATCAAAAGTAACATATACATATTCTAGAAACTAAATTATGATGTCAAATGAGAATTGTTTGAGTTTTAATGTAAATAGAAAGTAACTATAAAGTTCATAAAATATTTAAGATATAATAATATATTATTATTTATTTATTTCTTATTCTATAGGCGTAAATGTATAAAAGCGTTCCAGTCAAAATATAAAAATAAATAAATATAAGAATTGTAATTAAATAAATTAATTAGATTACTTAGATTTATAAATAGTTACTATATAATCAGTTTGAATTTTTTTGTAAGTAATAAATATAAATGAATTATGTTAGTGATTCTATTTCTAGAATATTAAACATTGATATGAAAAAAATGTCATTTTTCATACATATAAGTACTAGAAGTATTGATTTTAAGTAATAGATTTTATTCGGTTCTTTTATTAAGTCATCGATCGCTTTTATTTGGTTTCTATGTCAACCATTCGTGCTGTGTGAAGATAGCTTGTATTCAGCAGCTTTTCAGCAGAAATTCAAGCTACTCATATTGAACAACTTTGTTTTCGTGCCGATTAATCTAAACTAAAAATAATTTTTCCTTTCTAAAATGGTGCGGAAAAGAATACAACAACCGGAAATGTACACGACGTATCTCTTGAAACCCGGTCAGACGCTCAAGAATACCAAAGTGAGTGTTTTTATTTATTTTCACTCTCAAACATTGAATTTATAAAGACTGAATTTCTTCTGTGTCTAATATTTCTGAAAATTTAACCGCGCTTACACAGGTGTCTGAAAGAATTCGAGCGTTAGTAGTAACGAAGGACACCTTTCAGCGTTTTGTGGATTATACTACAGAAGAGGATAGACTAGCAGCACAGCAAGAAAAAGAAGCTGCAAAAATAGCAGCGTTGAAAAAAGCGACTTATGAAAAAAGTAAAACATGGGAGAGCACAATAGAAGTATGCTTGACTTATTCTCAACTCAAAATTACGATTTTGTATTTACGATTAAATACAAAAAATATTTTACTTCTAATTTCTAAATTTTGAAATATGTATTACTTTTTTAATACACTTTTTTAATGAGATAAAAATATATTTTAAATCTTCGCAATCAACATGTACTATAGAATATTTCGAAGAAAGTAAAAGTAAATTTTTAAACAAGACATTTATGAAAGTTTTAAAATTTATTTATAATTTTACTTTGTATAGCAACGATTGATAATATTAAAACAAAAATGATTTAATAATAGAATATTAAGATGAGACAAAGGGAAGAATTATTGTCAAAGAAGCAAAAAGAAGAAGAAAAGAGGAAAGTGTTCGTAAAGGAAATGGCAGAGAAAAAGGTAGCGGAGCGTGCAGAAGTGGTGCAGCAAGCAAGGAGATTGCTTCAGCAAAAGAAGCCTTTGTGCCGACAGATTAATCGTGCTCTTCTCGTCTCCGAGGTACTTTCTCACGAAAGGAGTGTTCATGTAATTTCTAAGCCAGACTCACCGTTAATTAAACTCAAAATAGTTCACTATGATTTATATTAGTGTCTCAGGGAGCTGGACGCTCAAGTGGCGTTGCAAAAGACTATTAGAGCAATGGACAAAGAACAAGATGAAAAATATGCTAATTCCATTAAAACAGACATTGCAAAATATGAGGAGCAGAAGAAACAAGAAATGGAAGAAGAAACGAAAAAAACGATGGATTACAGGATTGCTTTGAAAAAACAGTAAACATTAATTTTAATAGAAATTTAATTTTTTTAAGAATATAATTCTAAATGTTTGTAAGAATATTAATATTTTAATACAAATTCGATAGATATTATAATAATATTAAATAATATTAGATAATACAAGTTGAATAAATGTATTAGTATCAAAGCCAAAGAAATATATATTTATTTTTTTATTATACTGCAACATGTATTATCAGATTAATTATGTATCAGGATCGAAGAGAACGAAAGGGACAATAAATTAAAAGCAACGGAAGAATTAGAAGCTGAAAAACGGGATCAAACAAACATAATCCAAGATATGCAACTCATGAAAAAGAAAGAGATGCAAGATGTAAGATCCCGATAACTGCTAAACAATATTTTTTATTCCAAAAAAAAAATTTAACATATATACTCTGTATTCATATAGATATTGAACAAAAAGAAGAGATTACAGCAATTTTTCAAGAAAGCGATGGAGGAAAAAAAACGACTTGAACTAGAATTACAGCACAATGAAGAATTAGAGGATCAAACGATAGAAGTTTATAGGGAAGCTAAAGATCGAATACAGAAAATTCACAAATCATTAGCGTTAAAAAAGAAGGAAGAAAAAGCGCGTCAGAAACAAATTATAGGTACAATGCTTTCGGAAATCATATATGCAGAATTCAAATGACCAAAATGGATCCATCTTTTTTAATAAATTAATAAATTTTGTTTTAGAGAAGCAATATGTTTCACTCGACAAAGTTCGCGATGCTAAAGAGCAAGAAATCTTGGAAAAAGCTGTTGAAGAGAAAAAAGCAATCGAAGTGGAAAAGCAAAAAGCACAAAAGGAACGAGAAGAGAAAATGCGCGCTCTCATAGAAGAATACAGGCTTCATGATGCAGCAATAAAGACCAAGCAAAGACAAGAAGAAAAGGAGTTGAGAGCTTGGGAGATGATGCAGAGATTTAAGAGAGACGAATATAACAAACAGATTGACTTGGAAGAACGCAAACAACAATGGCAACAAAAACTGGAATACGGCAATGAATTACAAAAGGATATCGTAAGAATATATTTCTTTAATATAAATTTTATAATAATCAGGTGTAAACATCGAGAATAATTATTTTTTTATTAATTATTTCTTTTTATGTAGATTCTATTTACAACGGGCATTTTTACGTGTAAATGCATGTTACATTTGAAATAATTTTTACACAAAGTATATATTATTTATTTAAAATATGAATTTTTCATATTTTTCTTTTCCTTATGTAAGTATCGCAATGTAAGATATATCGATAAAATAGATAATTTGATATTAATCATCAGGAAGAGAAACAAATGGACAAAGAACGCGAAAAAGAAGTTCTTGAGGTTGAAGCGACAAAAGCTGCAATTGATAAAGCTAACCAAAGGATTCTATTTTATAGCGATGAAGTTTTAGAAGAATCGAAAGGCGTGAGACCACTTTATCCAATCATCAAAGCCATAGAGGTACATTTTAAACATTTGTAGTATGAAATTTTGAGATTAATAAAATCACAAATAATAAATAATTTTAAAAACTCTTTTCTCTATTTGTAGGATATTAAAAAAGAAATGGGGTTAGCTCCAAAGAAAAAACTCGAAGAGTCAATCGTCGAAGAGGAAGAGCGGCCGAAGAGAAAATACAGAACTCGGCGCCGCTGCAATTGCCCGAAATCTGTTGCAGCAGATCAAATATATTATTTACAGTAACTGCTATTTGCAATAAACAGCATTAATTTGTAAATCGCCCGATCGCAAATACCACACATCCGTCCAATAATTCAAGATGTCACCCAAGTCATTTTCGCATCACACCGTCAAGTCTCACATTTTTCGACTCATGCAAAAATCGGTAGAAACAAAGTTGTCCACATTAAGATGACATTTACCAGCAATTTATGAATAAAGAATTCACTAAGTTGTGAAAGTTGGAGCATTCTCACGGTTGCTTACTGTAGCGAGCACTTGTTATACGTCAAAATATTATATTACTTTCAATCCTTTCTCGAAGCAATTAAATAAGTTGTCTAAAGCAGAAATCTTTCTCAGAAATATGTTACGTGTACGTGTACGTTCAATTAAGACAGAATACATAAATTAATATGAACATATCATCATATAACATTATTTCAGTAAATATAATATGCATTTAATATGAATTAATGTCTCATGCAAATAATTATAATTATAAAATATGATTTCTCTTATAAGCAATACACAATGTATCAAATTCTTATACCAGAATAAATCGATCTTAAAATGCAATTTATTATCATAGATCATCTGTTTTCTTTGGTTGAAACACTTTTGAAATTTAAAGTAAGATAGATATATGTTTGATATTTATCGAAAGCAAGAAAGGGCATGTTCGGATTCCTACCTAGGTGCTCCACGAATGTCATGTCATTCTTGTTGTTTACTGAACGTTAAATAAGGATGACGTGACATCTAAGGAGCCATCCAGGTAAGAATCAGAACATGCCTAAAGAGAGTGCAGTCTAATGTAGGAATAAAAAACAAGGCTCAGTTGCACAACTCATGATTACTTCTTAACCGAAGTTTAACTTGTTTCTCCAATTCTCTCCAATTCTAAAATTGGAAAGAGATAATGAAAAATTTAACCTCGATTAAAAGTTAACCATAAATTGTGGAATTGCGTCGGATCAAATATCTTTTTATTTCTTTCATTTGTTCATTAAAACCCTAAATAAATGCAAATAATAATTAACAAGTAGCAAAGGAAAGTTGGCACTTTATTTCCCATCACTTTTTATAAATCATTTATAAAAATCAATATTTTATCGTTGTGAAGCGTTGCCGGTCGCGTTTTATTTTAACGTGCAATAAGTTGATAAAATTTGACAATGACATATATGTTTCGATTTGAAAGGCTTTAAAAGTATTTTATACCATAGTGAGAAATAGAAGCTATTTATTTATTTGACTTGTTTGTAAAAATTTATTTTGTTAACTTAAGATATTAAAAATGTCGAAAAAAGAAGAACCGAAGAGGCAACCTATACCGCCAACAATTAATTTTTTGCTGGGTGGTCTTTCTGGGTAATTTTTTTATGAAGCGTTGAATTAAAATAGTGTTTCAAATATACGTTTGTATCTTAGAATGGCAGGTACTTGCGTGGTTCATCCGATGGACGTGATCAAAAATAGGATGCAAGTGCTCAAAGGGAAAGCATCGATCTTGAATGTAATTAGCACCACATACAGCAAAGAGGGCATTTTGAAATTTTACAGTGGTTTAACAGCTGGTCTTGTCAGACAAGCAACTTACACGACCGTGCGACTCGGGACTTATAATCAGATGCAAGATTTTTGGAGGTAATCTGATAGCAGTGGCTATAATAAATTTTAAAAAATTTCAAAAGAGAGGTCAAGAATATTTCCAGACAATATAAATTTTATTTATTAGAAGAAAGTTTGAATAAAATCGGAATGAAATCACGATGTCTCTTAAATATTTTCATCGATTTCGACTCAGTTTCATCCCTTAAATAATCAAATAATTAAATTGAAGTAATTAAAGTCGTCAGAATTAAAAAAAAACTGCATTTTAGACAAAGATACGTCGGTTATCCCAATTTCGCGATTCTGGCATTAATGGCTGGGTCCGCTGGTGCCGCGGGAGCTTTCGTTGGAACACCAGCCGAAGTAGCTCTCGTAAGAATGACAATAGATGGCAGATTACCAGTGGGTAATGATAAATTTTTGTACAAGCTAATTAGTGAGCTTTCATCAGTATCAAAAGAAACATTGAAATAAACATTAACTAATTTAGCTAATGTTCTCTCTGTTTAGAGCAGCGAAGAAATTACAAGCATGTGTTTGACGCTTTTATTAGAATTGCTAGAGAAGAAGGAATATTCACTCTTTGGAGAGGAACTGTAGCCACGATAGGAAGGGCTATTGTCGTTAACATATCGCAATTGGCTACTTACAGCCAAGTGAAGCATATGATTTCATCACGATGTAAAGCTAAACAATAGTTTTCTATAATATTTAAAATTATTTCAATAATTCGCGTTTCTTAAATATAATTTCTTAAATATAAATCAAATACAAATATTTGTTAACTTTCGAAAATATAAAAATATAATTAAAATCTATAATACTTCGTTTATCAAATTCAGTAATATTTTTCTATCTATATCTTTTGAATGTTTTTTACAGTCAATATTAAAGAAGGCATAGGCTTGCACTTTTGTGCATCAATGATATCGGGATTTATCACTGCTTTTAATTCCATGCCTTTTGACATTGCCAAGACCAGGTTATCAATAATTTTAATATTTAAAATTTCTTGAAAAAACTAGTCCTTGAACAAATTCAATAATATTATAATACAAATAAATTTTTATTGTTTCGTAGAATACAAAATCTAAAAATCATTGGAAAACCTCCAGGTATGATCTCAGTTATGGTATCAATAGTGAAAAATGAGGGACTAAGATTTCTTTGGAAAGGTTTTTGGCCAACTTACTGCAGGATCGGTCCGCACACGGTACTAACTCTCGTTATCAATGAGCAACTGATGCGTTTATATAGAATATATGCCAATATATAGAATATATGCCAATAAATAATAAAAAAAATTATCCGAATAAAAAATTGCGTGTTTTGATATCACACATAATAAAATTTCAGAAAAAATTTTTTTATACTTTTTTAAATAACATTCTTACTGATTTAATTATGATTGCAACATCTTAATCTTTACTTTATTTCAATTATATCATATAGTGTGCAATTAAAGGAAACCAATTAACACTGATATAGATAAATTTTATTACATCAAGCAAAATTTCGAATACATTTGATGAAGTTGATCAACGCATACCATGGTAATTACCGTATTAGGCGCTGCTCTGGAATAATACGGAAGAAAACCGCGCCACAACAACATTATACCTTCGTTTTTAGCAATATTAATGATCATAGCCAGAACATTAGGTGGTTTCGTAGATTGCCTCCAGTTTTGAATCCTACAAGGATATGTATCTTAAGGCCTCAACTTTGCTTTTGATATCTTGCTGCTTTACCTAGTTTTAGCTGCGTCGATTGGAATCGAAACAGAACACGTAATTACACTAGACATCATGGCAGCAGTAATTTGCAGTGGTATATCATTTTGAATATAACCTAATATGTTTCAAAAATCCATTAAAATTATGGATTAAATAAAATCGTTTAAAATCGATCATTGGTTACAATTTTTCTGTTATACCCTTATTAATTATCATATTTATATTCTTATATATTTTCTCTTATATCAAATACAATTATGTTTATGTAAAGTACCCCTCTTGTGAAACATGTTTAATGTTGCAAATTTAATCACCTGTGTCTTGTAGTAACTTCTTCGCTCTCGTGTATGTACCTAATTGTGCTCCATTTACAATCGCTGCTCTACCCATCGTGGGTATCGCTCCTCTCCATAATCCGAAAAATCCTTCGGTTTTCCATATGTTAAAGATACCACTAATGGCGTTTCTATATTTTCTTCGCTTTTCTGATATAAATATATTAATTCCCGTGTACACAATATATTTACAAAGAATACATCTTTCTTTTTACATTTTAAATCATTCTGGCAAATAAATTTAGGTCGAAATTTCAAAATTTTTACTAGAAATAAGTACCTGGTGACAAATTCATGTCTGCCACCATGCGAATTAATACCAAATCTGTGGGAGTGCCGATAAAAGAACCCATCACACCAGCTATCATCCCAAAACTTACCATCGTAACATAATTTAAATAACCGAAATGTTGTCTGAAGAGAAGGAATTTGTAATGAGACATTTTTATAACATAGATTTGTCTAATGTCTAATTTAATACTCAATGCCAAATATGCACAATATTTAACTCCGCGAATTAGAATTAATTTTTAAATGCAATGATTGAATGCAATAACTGACATTACTCCCCGATATCTAGCAATGTGGTATAAATTCCAAGCCTGCTGGTGGTATAGGTTAATTGACGAAGAAGAGCCGCACTCAGTCCCGCGTAAAAACCGCAAACTCCGTTCGTGCAAAGCGTACGGAATGCTGCGATACGTAAAGAATCCTGCGACACTTGCATATGTATCTTAATAACATCCATAGGATGTGTCACGATTTGAGCTATTATTCTGTCGAATGAAATAAAGTTATCATGAACTTTATGCTAAAATATTTTTTAGATATTTGCCTGTCGAGTAAAAAAGTAACAATTTTATTGCAATTATATAATATGAATCTTTTTACCCCGACATGCCACCTATTACAAAATTGATGAATTTCGGCACCTTAGCGTCTTCAATCGGCGCCGACATTTATGTATTCTCTTTTTCTCATGTTAATCTCTAAATCTCTTATAACTAAGTTAATAACTTGTTACTTTTATCAATTTTTTTAAATTTCAATAAGAAAGACAATCTTTAACCTTTATTCCATTTTCATATTTCTCCTGAATGTAGTAGCATTATATTGTTCTTAATGCCAGAGCACAGACTCTTGATTAATTACTTTGTTTAACTTTGTCATTATTGCGATAAAATATTTTATTTCAATAAATATTCTTATACATAAAATATTTTCTATTCAATAAATATTTATTAGTATTTAATTAAGTATTTAAAATAAATAATTTTGGATATGCGTGCTACATACAATCTTTCCTACTGAAAATTCAATAAGAAATAAATAATTTTACTTACTAGTTGCGTTCTATCAATTTTCCCTCCGCCCAAAAAATATTCCACATCTGTGTCCTGAAAATAATGAATACCTGAAAAAAACATTTTATTTATTATACGCGCGCGCGTATTGTGTGTGTGTGTGTGTGTGTGTGTGTGTGTGTGTGTGTACACACTATTGTATATACTATAGCATATAAAAAAATTAGATCATATTATGATAGTACAATATATAACATATTACACGCTATTATATTATATAA